TTAATGGTATCACTCTAGTGCCGCAATGCGTGATTAGTTGTTATAGTCTTGCACACCAGGTGGTTAGATGACTTCTTAAATAAAAGTTTAGCTAATACCTTCCATTTTATCATTATTCATATTACTGAAGTTATAAATTCATGTTCACGTAACTTTTATAGATTTAGTTAAAGAATTCGTTATCAGATTTCTCAGTTAGTGGCGCATTTTTTATTTGAGCAGTTAATTATAATAACAGTAAAAGGATTCAAAATCTTTCAGTCTACGTCCAAATACGGTACGCGTGTGGCATTTGTTAACTTTATTTTATTGTTGTAGATTTGATTGGTGTTTCAATATGCGTGGATTAACTCGCGTATTTATGATGAAGCTTTTATTCAAGAGTGACATATATTGTGAGATAGTAAAAATGGATGTTCATAATCATAATGACTTCGGCCCACGTCTTACATACCTAATTGCTTCAAATATGTTTTTATAACAAAATACGGACGATGGAAACATTTTTGCGCTGTATTAACAGAAATTTCACATTTAACCTACATAATAAAATAATAGCCTTTGTTAATCAAAATAAACGAACCTTTCATGAAGATGACTCAGTAAGTTGCCGTCGTCACATCCTGTCATTTACCTTAATGATTTTCACTTGCGATTTGTAACACTCTGTATACATTAATAGAGGAGAATAGCCACGACTGAAATGATTAATAAATTTTAAAGTCGTGCATTGAAGTTTTTGAAGATAAAATCTATAACCATCTACATATACAGCTCTATTGAAGACAAATTGTGTGCTTGTCAAGGTATCTATAATCGTAACTTGAAATCACAATAGGTGATACAAATAAAGCTCATTGTAGTTCTGGGTACAATTGAATATTTAAACATCCCAAAGGTAAATATTTACATAGATAAAGAGCAGTCCATTACACGAAAGTTTATAAAATCAAGAGAAACTTTAAATCTGCTATCACATCTCTATAAAGCTCAGGTAAAAAGCACGAGATTCAAAATTTATTGGAATATGCGTTCCAGACTGATACATGTTATTGTTCGTAGCTACCATCTGCAAAATCGCGAACCTCGCCTGAGCTTTAGAAGTCACGTTAAAACCGCCTCGCACCCGAAGAATGTACTGTGTTTATTGTAATTCAAAAGATATTTATCAAATAGTATTTTATATTTGCACATCTTAAGGTTTATACATTCAGGTTAAATTGTACGCTACCGTCTTTCAGTGAAAATATATCCTGTTTACTTTACTAAACATGAAAATGTCCTCTACAATTTTCAGGTACATATTTCTGATGTGTTAAATAAATTACTAAATACAATCATAAGGACTTGTTGAGATTACATAATTGCCAATTGAACGCTCAAACCCGTTGCAGTATTTTGTGATGTGATAATAATATGATTAATTCTATGTTGTATACTATGTTGTCTGTGATTCTTATAATAAAATTGCAGTTTTGAATGATGTAAATGACCCGTGCCCCTTTATAGCCACGCAGAGTTTAGGTCACAATGTTAAAGGGTATAAGGTCGTACCCAACGCGACACGTGCCGCAAACTGTTGCATCTGCAACTGTATATAAATAATGTCTTTTTGTGTTAATTGTAGGGGCCGATGATAATTTAATTTGGGTTCATTTTATCATGTTGACTTCGAAATAAGGTGAGCGACGGTATAAATTCATACTCACAAATTTGATTTTTGTTTGTGGCACTGACTAAAGCGCACCAACTTTTGCGCCTCTCTAGCAATCGCTATGACTATTAAATATTACCATGCAGCTGACACTGAATTTTCTTAAAATTTACGATTTTTAAAAACGGTAAGCGATCTTATTCTTAATTTGAAGTTGCTTATATTAAATAACCACAATCCGTTAACTTTTAAATGAACGAAACAAAGTGTATGTAGGTAAAAGCAAATTTTCTTAAAAATTACGAAATAAATCGGGAATAATGGACATAAATTTCCAACCATGTAACAAGAACAATACACGTAGTAGTCCTTTAAATAAAGAAAACAAACATCGTGCAGGTAGAAAGCAGGAAATCGTAGTTTCGTAGTGTTTTATAGACTCGAACAACGAATTATATCCTCGTGCATCCGAGTATCGGTTCTTTAATTGATTCAGCAAATGCTCCATTAGAGAGCAGTTACGTTTTGTGCGGAGGTCGTTCATGCATCTCTCTCTATATTTTTAATGAACCTAATTGGTAGGTACGCACTAATATCCCAGTCGATAATTATAGGTAAGCGCTTCACCAACATAATGGAGGTAGTTAAGGTATTACATACGCAAGAAATGTGATATGCGAATCGAACTAACCGTATATCACATAATATTTTTTCTTAAAGAATGTTAGCAGTAGTCCTGCTAATACTACATAATTGTAATTAAGTACAAAGAGTAATCGTAAGAATATGCCCGTCCATTGTCATAAAAATTTTAAAGCGACCATAATACTCTCGCCGGTTTTATATAAATGTGTCATAAATTTCCAGTTTCTTTAAAGCTGCGATGCCGAAAGATTTCTTCATATTTCAAGTTAGCTATAAAACGTTGAGAACGTTAGGTAGTTTATATGTTTAGACAACTTAAACAAGAGACTTTGACAGCATAGTCAAGCATAGACAATTAATATGTATACCTCTACTGATTTTGAAGAATTGTAACAAGAGTAGGTACTATGTGTCATCGACGGATTTACTTGAAAATTTCGTGAAGTGTTTTTTTCCGATCTAAATCGCACCATTTTGGGATAGCGTTAAATAAATCTAAATAGGCATTGAATTTTCAAGAGTGCGTGGGAAACAAAAGACGATAATGTCTGTCAAATCTCGATTGTTTTATCTCCGATATTTGATTTAAGGGCAGTTTTTTTAACATTCTTTTAAGTTTAACTGACTCGCTTGAAAATTTTCCATGAAAATTAAGTAACACTTTCATTTAACAGAAGGTAGAAATCTGATTTCGATTTTGCAAACAAGAAGACCTACTGCCTACTTTGCTATATTAAAGATTGATTTTCCGCTATAACTTTTGATCACCAAATTTAGCTTTTGTTAATTCTATATACAAGAAAATAATTATATTAAGAAAATTCGTTTCTTTCAAATTTTATATACTGAAGTTGAGTGCCTGAAATGCCAATTTGCACATATATGGAAATCAATAAAGTAAATTTAAAACATCCTCACAAACATTATTAATCATCCAAGTAAATGAAGTAAACGTAGTAATAAAAACTAGTTAATATAATTGAAATGAATATTTGATCGAGCTCTTTATCAGCGCTTTAATTTAAATTTTAAAGAAAATGTACCCAAGGGCACCGACGTAAACTCTACAAAATGGCGTATGCGACTGTGCGCGGCGAGATAAGATGGCAGCTATACATTACCGACAGTTTTGTCAGAAACGCTCGAACCGGTCAATTTTAGTTTTGAGGGGGACATCCAAATTAAATGATACTATTTACATAACTTCAACCCTGAGAAGGGCCGAATTACACTCCAAAAACTGAAACAACAGATTCGACAGATCAATCGTGCCGTATCTGAAGCCCTTTACAGGATTGAAAAAATTAAGTGCAATCAAGTTGTAGTAGAAAATCTTTAGAAGTACGTGTATTTTGTGAGTAGTTCAAGCTCGAAAATTCCTTTGAACTATCTAACGTTTACTACTCCTTCATTCTTCGGTCCATCTTGCATTATATTGGGTTGGGGCAGCTGCACTAATTTCTAGTTATCTACAAGGAAGGTTTCAAGCTGAATGAAACAGCATCAGATAACGTTGAGGTTAAATGCGGTGTACCTCAGGGCCCAATACTTGGGCATCGCCTGTTTGTTATTTCAATTGTCTCAGAGCTTAAAATCGCAACGAAAATTGACGTGTTCTGGAAAAACGATTGCATTTATTGCCATAAACTCGTGAGAACACAATACTAGCATTATTGTGCTTTTAGTATAAAAGAATCCGCCAAAACCTAAATCTTGTTTGTCCAGTATAGACAATACCATTATTTGACTAAGCAGGTATACTTCAATGGATGAAGGTACAGGTTGTCCGCAGCATAAAAACCCAGTAGCGTGCACCAACTGAAGTTAAAATATTAGAGCTAATTCTTTTTTTTTGCTTCGAGTGTTCCTTTTACATATTTTGCATTTCTTTATAAAAACATTCCACTTCGTGTATTAACCAGGATCAATAAAAATACCTTCACACTTGTGATGTCTTCTCCAAGTAATAAATAAATCAACCTTGAATAAAATTTAGTTGATACAAGTCCTTTATTTCCTACAAATATTTATATTATTTATATTTTAATTTATATCCCAGAATATTTTTAGAAATAAAAATTTTAAAATCGTAAACCCTTGATATCATTTATTACTGTACTTAGTTATAGACTTTTTTTCGTTTCTGCTTTAAACTTTTTTATTCTCTTTTCATGTAACCATAAGATGAAGATGAACCGTATACATTATTCAGAATTTTATCGCACATGTAATAAGTGTAAACGCATTCGTAATAATCTAATAATAATTGATGGAGTCTATTGACAACCAATTATATATAGTTTTGTGGTCTTATTAAATAAAATAAGGAAAGTGTAGCTAACGTTTTTTCTTCAATTTCTTCATAAACTTTGCTCGGTTTCTGTTAAGCTGAACAAATTTGCCTTTTTATAGTAAATGAAATTCTAAAACTAAATCAATAACTGTTTACTTTTTATTATAAAAACAAGGACAAAATTAGAGATTTACAGAAATTAATAACATCAATGCAAATTCGCGTTAAATTGTGTAATAGAATAAATTAGTTACCAGAAAAAATGCTCTAGTGTGTAAAAAAGACACAAAACTCACACTTCATCCCCTTATGTGGGCTAAGCATCCCTTAAAAATTTCACTGGTACATACGGTCGTATGGTACGTTACTTCAAAGATTATTCAATTCTGTAACTAGTTCAAACTTTGATTTCCATTGAAGCAAATTCCACTTTCGCTACGGGCCACGGGGTAGCTACGGCTCCAGCTTGGCTAAATTTCATATATTTCGCGATTTCTAGTGCAACTATGCAGATGTGTAAAGCGCTTTGAATCATAAATGAGAATCAAGGTATGAAATGAAAAGACAACCGTGTAATATATTAAATAATGCGAATTATTAAACAAACGCAATGGAAATAAGAATGAGAACGTCTTGAATAATAGTTTCTGTCATTTTACTAGTCGCCCGATACGAAGAATAAGTGAGAAGGTGTGGGAATAACATTGTTGCATACTAATACTAGATGCAAAATGATGGTACGGTGATGCGGATAATGCACCCATCCCTGGCACGTAGTAAATAATAAAAATATGAACCGGAACGACCGCTTTAATCCGTGTTTAAAACCACATAATACTACTGCCAATATACGCTTGGACAACTACTAACAACACCCTACGGTTTAATAATCGAAATGTCTAGTGCGGATGATTGTTAAGATATAAGTAAATTGCATTAAAATACATAAATTTAATCACATATCTCTATAATAAGTACTCAATTAGTTTATGTTTGTCATGGAATATTTGCCTTAAAATTATGGTTGTAATAGGCAACGCTGTGCCGCATTAAAACAATAAAACGTGATCGAGTAATTCTTGTAATGAGGGTTATTATACCACTTTATCCTTAATATAGCATAACTATAGGGCATTGCCGTAAAAAAGGGGATTTGACTAAATTAGAAGTATCGTCGTCTACACTTGACTTGCACTTTATAAAATAGCTAATTACCCACTAAACAATCATTCTTCGGCAACGGGAATACTTGGACACTAGTTAATAGATTTTAAAGTGCGCTATGAAATGGGATATTCTACCAAGATGTCTGGCGATGATTTACTAACTAGGAGTGGTGTTTGGTTACCTATATTTGCAATAATTACGAAAAAAGTACGATTGATTGATGCGACTACTTCCACTTCTTTTTTATATACTGCACAGAAGTCATTAAATGAATTGAGTAATGAAAGACCGCAAGTACTTTCACTGGTATATAAAACATCTTCACTATTTTTATTATAGCATTTACTAATTACAGGAAAATCCATTAGTTTTCTTCAACAGTTCTTATTATAAACAAAGAAAATGTTGACTTTAATTATACCACTTAATACCACTGACTATTAATACAGTAATTATCCTTACGGGAGAGTATTACAGTCATGACGTTGTGATAAATAAAAGCCTCTTTAATTTATGTGTCTATAAAGCGGGGATATGAAAACTAAGATGCAATAAATTTATGCATAACAGGCTAAGTAAAAAAAAGTTCGTTCGTTACAGACCAAACGCTTTTCTATTTCAGGCAGATAAGAAAAGTGATATTCACGTTAAAAGCTAAGGGTTACGGACGCAAACACACCCCACGTTGTGTAAAAAATTTCGTCCTTAAGAAATAATTAATATTACACTCATCGTCAAACTTAACTGTAAGTAGATAAAAGCAGGCCAAATGCTTTCGCTCGATAATCTTGATACGAATCATGTCAGATGGACGTACGTAAGACATTTGTAACGTACAACGATCCCGTCGAGAAGATTGAAGTATTAATCATGGGTTACTGATACGTTCCAACTTGAGATCAAACTCTTCTTTCGACAGGAAGATACTATCGGTTAATCTATACAAACGTCTACTGGTTATCATAAAAGCCATAAAGGATGCTATCAATATTTTAAACTGAGAATGCTAAGATAAATAATTAAATGGCTACCCTTGTCGGTTAATGTGAGGGCGAGTTCGTTAAAAAATATAAAAAAGTACATACCTCAGTAACGTCAACTCTTCTGAACCTTCATAAAATACATTTCGAGATTATGGCAGGATTTTACGATGCGTTGCAAAAATCAGCTGCAACAAAAACACAATTAAATTGATTTTACTATAATCGTTGGTGGTTTAATCAATGACGGTTTCATTAATTCTGCCAGAAATTAGCTATAATTGTAATTGCGTTTACGGAAAAAATGTACGTTCACGTATGTGAAATGCGTTGCTAGCACCAACTAAATTACATACCTATATTAAGAGTGATTATAGATATTTTTGTGGATATTAAATACCAAAGGGACGAACGTGCATTCAAAAAATAGATCATAGCCTTTGAATTGGATGCATAGAAAATTGATTGCGAAACCATCGAGTACATGGTCTTCATTGATAGCCATAAATAAAGACTAACCTTTAATTTCAGAATTCTAAAAAATTAAATTTCTAAAAAAACTATCCGTGAACAAATGATTACCTTTTACGGTGATGTACAATTCGGGTGGTGGAAGCAACTTCGTTGTGGTCTAGGATCCATCAACAAGATGATCCAAAATCACAGGAGACAGAGAATTGAAAAGATGAGAAGAAGTTTCAGTTATTGCAAGGAAAGCACACATATCAGAGGTCACAGTTTTGAAAATTTTTCACGAAGAATTGGGGATGAGGGAAGTATTACGACATGGATTGCTAGGCTTCTCGCACAGAACAAAAACTTGTGACGCAAAAAATGTGCTAGTGAAATTTGAAAGCTTTAAAACGGATTGTGCAACGAAACAAGAATCGATGCCGATAAGCGCATAATGGATCCTCACTACAAAAAAGTGAAAATGCAGTGGCCCCTCGTAGATGGATGCCTGTATTTAAAAAAGGAATACAGACGTTTTTATGAAAATAGCCACGACAAATACACATTCTGAAGGTATGTTGATTCCAGTTATTGCAAAATAGGATAGAAAAAAGCATAATGACGAGCCCAACCTCGGTAATAAAATAAAAAAGGCAATAACAAACAGTAGCTAATAAATATCGGTTGTAAAAAGCGGCCATTTTTATCTTTTTAATCGCCAGTGCCATTGTACTGCGTAACTTGATTTACGATATCAAATTAATAAACTTCTATACCTACGTAAACGATATTGGAAATGTGACGTCGATAATAATTACAACCGGTATTATAATGAATTATTGTGGGAAGTATAAATTTGGATAACGAGAAAGTAAAATTTAGACACATCATTTTACATTAAAGGAAATACATGTTTATTAATTTGTAGCCTTTTTACATGTAGGCATTAGGCCGAGAAAGACGGTCTCGCGCTAGACAGTTCAACAGCTCATACAATAATTGCAATTACATGCTCTATGCTCATTATGCTTTTAATTACTAACTGACGGCTATTATTTACAGCATTAAAAGTAGAATAGAAATTGAATAGTTTTAATTTTGAAAGCGTTGCCGAGAAAACTATTGATTTTGTATTGTAAGTAATTTAAAATTATTTGTCTAAGTATGCTTTCATTTTAACACGGGCTGTATAATTTGTAATTTTAATAAAAATCAAAAATTGCAAAATCATGCTCAGTTCGATAGTTTAATGGACTGTTTACCCTCGGGTGTCTCCAGTTATCTATATTAAAATTATTATATGCGCCCCCGTCGAAACAAAATTACCAAAATATCCACAAAGTAAAATTTAGACGGTTTGGTTATGAATTAACTTCCAAATTTGATATTTGGAGATGCTCTATGTCAATGGGGTTTTGCATATTATAATTGTAAAGCGAGGATAGCTGTGGATGCAGGGGTAAATGCAAAAACTAAAATTCAATTTCATGATTATTTATATTTTACTTACAGTAAAAGGAACTTAATACTGCAATTTTATTAATTTTTAGTGCCACAGATTATTTTCAATTACAATTTTTTTTCTGTTATCAGTACTCGGTTGAGCTATATCCCACATTAATCGAAGAAGAAAAATCACTTATATTGATGTAAATTGTAAATATATTGCTTGCAGACTGCAGAGAGCAAACAATGGAACGCAAAAAAATTGATTGAAATATAATTTTAGAAATAAACGGCCTACGAACACGTTTTCAAAAAATAACGATTCGCTTAAAGTCGCTATAGAAACGGAACTCACGAATGAGCGATAATAATTACATGACTCCGTATATGCGTGTACTACCAAGTATGTTATTTAAAAAGCAATTGTATGAATTCTGAAATCCTTAAAGCACGCCACCATTATTACGATTCGTTCATATTCCATACTTAATATAAGAAAAAGAAGAAAATCTATTTCAAACCTTTCGTAACAGGATACACAGGTGGCGCATAATTAAATAAGAGTTAAATACCTACGTTTTTTTGTGGTACTTCATAAAATATGTTTTGGTTGAAAGAAACGGCATTTTAATATTCATAGGCCATAACTCTTTGTTTACTACTGTTTTTGTATAACTACTTGAACTTCTTTTTAAATTACTTCTCATATGATGTCTTTCAATTATTAGCTCTTTTACTTCTCTATTCTATGTAAAATTCATATAAAAATTTAGTAGTCTCCGAAAAGCTATTAATTTCGTGACTATTTGACCGTTTAACACACTCTAGAACTTTATAGTTTTCTGTTCAATGATTTAATTTAACGTTAGAGATCAATTATGTATCTGTTATGTATACTTTTCGAACACTGCCAGCAAGTACTGTTGATAATAACTCTGGAAGTCTGTACTCAAATAAATCAACACGTGCACTTGAATTTGTGCAGATTTCTCAAATTACAGTTAGGCACGCTTTGCGAGAACTAAAAACTAGAAGATGCAGAGACATTTACGCACCGAACCGAACGCAAAATTTATGGAAAGTAACATTAGCTTACTGGTAAACATACTGTTATTAATTTGATTATTTCGTCGGGGGTTCTTCCCGAAGAATTAAAAACTCGATGAATATCCTAATTTTTCTAAAAAAAAAAGATCTGCTTTATAGACGATTATAGTTTATTATCTTGAACGATTTGTGAAGGCGGTGTACACGGTCGCTCTGAATTTATTTTACGAATTAAATCGAAACTTGACGCAAATTACGAATGTTCAGCCAATTAACCAAAAAATTCGTCCACAAACATGAAAGTTAGCACTGCGCATGCACAACCTATTCTTAGCGCATAGAATTTTTAATCACAAGAATCGGCAAAAATGTTAAATTATGGTACATTAGAAAAATTGATTTTTTGCTATAACTTTTTTTAGTAATGAAACGCAGAAAAAATTCCTTCCTTGGTGCAATATCGAACCAAATAGCGATAAAAGTAGAACAATAGCTCTTAAGATAAAGACCTAGGAGCTATACATATACAGTCGAAGGGACGGACAGACGAACGGGGAAATGGCCACAATAGCCGTTTTTTAATTTTTGTGGAAATGCGCTAGAAATAGTATAAAAACACGTGTTACAATGCTTTATGTATTGTTGTATGTAGTTTTATTACAGTAGGTTGCATTGTAACAGTTGTCTTTCAATACACTTATATTACAATCACCGTGAGAAATGTGTGAAATTCATTTATATTGTATGTGTTGGTTTTTAAAATTAATTCGTAACCAGGCCATCCAAATGTTATTTTGTGAGTATTTCTGCATAGATCATTGTATGGCCTTTAAAATGATATGTCACTCACTCGATGGGGAATGCATCTTATAATTTTAAAAATACGCATTTATATGCACATCGATGCAGAAAAATTAATGCACTACGCGAATCGTGACTAGAAGTTACCCTTACTCATCTTCCGATTCTAGCACTGATAATAGTTGTTAAGTCGTTGCACTATTGCAGAATTTCATGACTCATATGTGGTGGTACGTGAATTTGAGTCTCTTTTGTTTCTTCGTCCCCACACCGACCACTATATTAATTAAATGTTGTAAATAGTATTTCAATACAAGAAATTGGACAGCGTCCAAGCCACATGCCGAAAGAACTTGTCCTCTATAACTTATCTTTGGGGCATAATTAGTCTTTAATTACTATATAATAGTTAATAGCCATCGCAAGCTTCCAAAGCCATTTGGCGTACAGTTCCAATATCTATATATCACGTTCGGCTCTGTAGAAAATAGCATCATATTTAATACCACGCAAACACCAAACTAACGGTTTTTCGAATCTAAACAAAAACGAAAAGCAATTACAGTTGCTCAGTTTTCTCAGACGAATGCAATCACATAATTTGCAAATACGGGCAATGCTTTTCCGACTACGATCGCACCTTTACAACTCGGTAAATGTCACGAATCGAGCCAGGCGTGATTGTTGCGGGAAAAATGTAACTTAGAAACAGGAAAAAAAATCTACCACGAACCATAACTGTAGGTTTCTTGTCAGATTGTTCTCCTGTAATTAGACATTGTTTTAAGCTTGCACTAAATCTGTAATTATTTCTTGTCGTGATCTAATCATATAAAAAATGTATAGGAGCGCTTATTAATTAATTTAAAACTGGCGTTTTTCTTCCACAGTGTCACAGCAAAAAAACCCATTTAATTTAATGGCCTTTATAAATAAATACACTGTTAAATTCACGATAATGGCAAATATTAAAGACGATTATTGAGCTTATACATCGGCAGCGTACCAAGATTTGTTGAATGTCAATTTAGTGATACTACCGTTTACCTTTTGCAATTTTATTATCTATAAACCTTTGCATTTTTTACATTATAGATGATGTACTTGCAATTTACTCTTTTCTTATTATGTATATGTTTTGCCCAACCCATGCGTGACTAGCGAGTATGGCTATAATAATAAATAAAAGTTGTGAATTTACTGCGCTTAACAGGATGTCCAATAATCATGTAAAAACTAATAAATTCTTAAAAAAATTCGCTTTAGTGTTTTCTAGCTGATTAACACTTCTGATACCAATGCAACCCATATTGTCGCCCTGTTTTACTATATAGATTTTTAGATTTAAAAAAAGTACCTACTAGCACGTGCGTCGTGCATGTGCTACAAGGAAGATGAATCGTCAAAAGAGGGAAGATATCGTAAGTAAGAAAGTTTAATA